AGGAGGCAGAGACAGGTGGATCTTTGTAAGTTCAAGGTCAGCCTGGTTCACAACCAGGACTACATAATAGAGAAACCCTGTCTCCAAAAAAAAAAAGAAGAAGCAAAGCTTAGCAAATGCCTAGCTTTCCATAGAGGTGAAAGGACTTTACAGGTGCCCCTCCTTAATAAAGTTTTGCCTTTAATACTAAGTAGCAACTGTCTTCTTTTTCAAAAGGTAAAATAAAGCCTTTAAGAATGAAGAGAGAGAGCAGTTAGGGCTGGAGAGATGGCTCAGCAGTTAAGAGTACTGACTGCTCTTTCAGAGGTCCTGAGTTCAATTCCCAGCAACAAGGTAGCTCACGACCATCTGTAATGGGATCTGATACCTCGTCTGGTGTGTCTGAAGACAACTACAATGTGCTCATACATAAAGTAATTCTTAAAAAAAAAATGAAAAGAGGAAAGGCCACAGTTCTACAGTCCATTACAGATGCCCCTAATAGAGTAGGCCTAAACTAGAATAGACAAGAGGGCTCAGGAAATTAGTTCTAGGTATCAACCCTGATATCAAGTTTCTTAAGCACTGATACCATCCATATATGTGGAACTTTTAACAAGTTGATATTTCTCCCATATAAAGAGGTCTCGTCCTCTTTTACAAAATATCATTTTCGAGTCTTTTATAAAGCACAGAATGTGGAATATAGCAAAAGTAAAACTGACTTCAAGGGCAGGTTAGAAAAAAGCAATGCAGGGCTGGCATGTATGGCTTCTGATAGAGCCCCTTCCTAGTATATACAAGGTGCTGGGCTCAATTCTAAGCATGGGGAAAAAAAAACCCAAGAAACCACACAGCAACTATCTGGACATTCATAATTAAAATCTGAAGCTCAGGCCATATTAAGAGGTCATTTAGAGGGACGTGGAGTGTTGGTTATTTTCAACAAAATCTCCATCATTTGATTTCACCAATGAAGACTCGGGAGCTAAATGCTGGGGTGAACTCCTGCTAGAGACAGAGAAAGCACCCAGCTGACCTTCCTCCTCAGCGTACTTCCCACCAGGAATCCCCTCTCTCACACAATCTCAAAGAAAAAACTCCTTCAACCCTCAATGTGCCTCCCTTCTGCCCCCTGTGCATCTCTCTCTGGCTTCCTGACTACCCTTACTCTTTTTTTTTTCTTAATAGTTCTATGTTCACTTCCTGTCAACTGGTTGCTTGCTCCACTTTTATTTAGTCCAATTTATAGCAGAAAGCTCTTGAGTTAAAGGTATGTGCTAAGGCTGAGTCACACCATAACTAAAAACATTTTTTTTTCCAGTAAATAACCCAATCTCAGGGTTCACAGTGTGATCAAATATCCTGCAACAGTGAAGACATGGCTCAGCAGTTAAGAACACTTGCTCTTCCAGAGGACCCAAGTTCAGTTTCCAGTACCCACATGGTGGCTCAAAACCCATCAGTAATCCCAGTTCCAGGGGATCTGCTACCCTCATCTAACCTGAGTATACCAGGCACACATGTAGTGCACATACATAAAGATGCCATGCAGGGGTGGGAGAGATGTTCTTGCAGAGGACTCACCTGTAGTTCCCAGCACGCACATGTTGACTCCATCTGTAACTCCAGTTTCAGATGAGTTACCTTCTGACCTCTGAAGGTACCAGGCATGTATGTACATATACACAAGGCATGCAAACATACATCTTTTTTGTTAAATAAAAAGGACATGAGCCAGGCAGTGGTGGCACACACCTTTAATCCCAGCACTTGGGAGGCAGAGGCAGGTGGATTTCTGAGTTCGAGTCCAGCCTGGTCTACAGAGTGAGTTCCAGGACAGCCAGGGGTACACAGAGAAACCCTGTCTCGAGGAGAAAAAAAAAAAAAAAAAGGACATGAATGTTCTAAAGCTCCATAGCCTTAGCTGACAGAACCACCCATTCCCAATCATGTGCATAAGGGATCCTTTAAGAAGCCTTAGTTCCTGGCCTTAAGGTGATGAATGAATCAGAGAACAGCTGTTGCTACCTACCCAATTTATAAGTCTTTGAGCAAAATACTGGCTTAATCGTCTGGTTTTGGGTATGGCTTGTTTTGTTTCTTAGTGGCTGCTAGGGTTCTGAGGACCTTGTACATACTAAGATTATACTCGACCACTGAGCTATATCTTCAGTCCCTATTTTTTGTTTACTTTTTATTGTTGTAGATGCTTGGAATCAAACCCGATCCTTAGCAAGAGCAGCCTGTGCTCCTAACTGTTGGGCCATTTCGACCAGCCCTGTCTCTCTCTTCTTTTTTTTTTTTTTTTTGAGACAGGATCTATGTAGCCCTGGCTAACCTAGAACTCATGATGTAGACCATGCTATCCTGGAGCTCAAATATGCCTGTGTCCTGAATGCTACAATTCCAGGTTTGGTGTTGCTATGTCCAGGCCCCGTCCATTTTAATGTTTTCTCTAATTTTTCTACTATATAGAAGAATAGAGATTAGTATCAGAAGATACTGATGTCTAGGGTGGTTAATTGTACTCAGATTTCACTAAGTGACCCTTGATAGCTTCAAGAGAACAATTTCCTGGACTAGAAATGTTGCTCACTCAGGGGTTTTTGTTTGTTTGTATTTATCTGTTTGTTTTTTGAGACGGGTTTCTCTGTGTAGCCCTGGCTGTCCTGGAACTTACTCTGTAGACCAGGCTGGCCTCGAACTCAGAAATCAGCCTGCCTCTGCCTCCCAAGTGCTGGGATTAAAGGCGTGAGCCACTACTGCCTGGCCGCTCACTCAGTTTTTAAGAGTACTTGGTTAGCACTGATTGGCTGGGCTTGACTCCTAATACTGTACGATTGAGGTAGAGTCCTGGGTCTCTAACTCAGCATCTGGGACTGGGGACCTTCTGTACTTCCTAAGGGGATTAGTCCTATTTCTCTCAGCTTTAAGAATCTAGATGGCAAAGTAAATCAGTTGTTTTTATTCTGTCTGTGGTGCTAAGGATCAAAAAAAAGCACTCTTATCATTGAGCTACACCTCCAGCCTAGAAAACATGGCTTTTATGAAAATAAAAGCAACCAGTGTTGACACAACACTGTGTCTTTGCATAGGACATATTAAATATTTTCAAGAAACTTTATACATTCTCCCCTCGTTGCCAAATTTAATCTTCAGTACAGTTATTTCCATCTCCCCAATATGCCTGTAATCCCAGCACTTGGGAAGCCAGCTAGGGTTACACAGTGAAAACCTGTCACAAAAGATCGTTTGTGAAGACTTTATTAATCATTACGAACGGAAAAATTATTACTTTTGTTGCCAAGACTCACAGAAAAAAAGGTAGTTTCCCAAGTAAAATAAATGATGTTCAAATGCCATAATACTGCTTTCAACACCCCGCCTCAAGATCCGAAAAATTAAGATTACGGGTTTAGGCCATCATGTTCATCCTCGCTGTTCTTTAGAGGAAAACAAAACAAAATAAAAATCTGTCTCCTTCCATGACAAAGAAATATCAATTCTGGGCAGTCCCACCGTGCAGAAACAGCTTGGCATAACTCCTACAGACCTGTTCACAAGTGACCTTCCCAGAGCAGCACGGAAATTGGGATTATTCACTTATATGCGTATCAGTATCCTCCATCAACTTGAGTTTCGGCACACTGGGCAAAGGCTAATACCGGCCAGGCCATCTCATATCCCTCAGATACTTAACTCTTCCTTTGTCGTGCAGAGTAAGGCAAAATTCAGATAATTCACTGAAAGATACTTTAATTAGTCAATTTCCTTCACGTGGGATCACAAATAATTGTGAAAAACTTGCTTATTAATGCACCAGCCCTTATGATTAATGCTCTTCATAGTAACTTTACGAACAGTTTTAGCAGACAAAAAAAGCCCGAAAAATCAGGTCTCTCAGAACTTTACCCTAAATCATACCAAAAGTAAACAAACAGATTATGACTATGTTCTCCTAACTGACCCGTGCTGCAAAAAGCCCCAGAAGTGGCCCAGCCCGGTGACCGCTGGCAACTATACAACACAGACCCACCCAGACCTCCCCGCTCGCGCCGGCGTGGCGCGGGTCCGGGACAGCGCGCTGCTGGCTCCGCCCCTCATGACGCGTGGGAACGCGGCGCCCTTCCTAGAGTTGCCCACAGCGGCCGCCTGTGAGCTTGGGCGCGGGCTCTCACAGCTCCCATCGTGATCACCTTCCCGTAGCCGCCGTGCCGGTCTCGACATTGTGCCCTCGCCATCTGACCCACGCAGAACCCTGCGCGGCGGATAGCGCTGCCCAGCGCGGGTTTTCCACCAGGCACCGCCGCGGACACCCCAGGTCCTGCGCACTGCGAGGGCGGTGCCTGGGCCCCGCGGTGCGCGACGGGGGTTATTAGGGGGAGGGGGCGGAGAGCTGCGCCGGAGGGCCGGGCCGCGGTTACGGCGGCTGAGGAGAGGTCTGGGTGGGTCTGTGTTGTATAGTTGCCAGCGGTCACCGTGCTGCAAAAAGCCCCAGAAGTGGCCCAGCCCGGTGAC